AAAAAAAATGTTAATACAACATAACATATATGACCTTGATGGCTTCAGTGCACCAGATGGTAATAATCGTTGGGGCCGTTTTGGTTCCGAAAATTCGTGGTATAGTCGATGGTACGGTTAATTGTAATAAACGTTAAACGATGGTTGTTACTTATGCAAAATCCAATTTATGAAATGTTGAAAAAAAACTAAAAAGTTTTGGGTGTTTCATTCACACCAGCCAGTACTGCTGGTCCCTCCGGATTATCCCGAAAGTTAGGGTGGAAGGCCCTCTTCAGCCTCCTTTCAGGAATCGTGGGAATGGGTGGGTGGTGATTCCGGTGAGAAAGACGATACGGATGAAATGACGACAGGAGAGAATGAAAGATTATCTGTGGAATATTACTGCCCCAGCATTTGCCTAAGTGATCCAAGAAAACCACAGAAAACCTTGGAACAAGGCAGGCGAATCCGGAATCGGACCGGCGTCCTCTAGAATGCTAAGCAATGGTCTAAACCTCTCGGCCATGCCACTCGGTGAATTATTGATTGAATGTGATGTATAGACGGGATTGACTAGTTACTGTCCCCACCTTTCCTATTAATACGACTTCTCGTCGCCTTCTCACAATACTCTTCTCAATCGATGAACCCGAGTCCAACCGTATCCGACAGGTCACAATTCCTTACCTCAGTACACGTTCCTACCCGTTCAGATGTAACTTGCGTTCACATATACATGCATCAACGTACAGCCAGTTACATGATTCACTTTGGGTATAAAAATTCTAATCACAGTAACGAAAAATCGTTATATTTTATTCAACATAAAAAGATAACATGTATACATAAATTAAAGTATAAATGAATAAAATAAAAAATGAAAAGTTAACACAACATAAAATGTCTGACCTGGTCACTTCAATATGCAAAATGGTGATGATCGTTAGGCCCTTTCTGCTTTCGAAAATTCAGCGTCATACGGTTGACACAGTTCATTGTAATAAACGTTACATAATGACTGTTACTTTTGTAATATTCAGTCAATTTCTGGTTAGATTGAAAGTAGTCAATTTACAACTCATATCAAACGGTTAGAGATGTCCCTAATTTAACCTGGATGTGCCGGGACCAAATTATAAAATCAATCCTTTTTCTATCTCGTTCAAACTACTCACATCTAGTGTGCATTCTATCTATTCGAGCAGCTTTCCTCAACCTTTCTAACAGTTCGAAACGAGTTGTATCGAGTGTGGAGAGACTGCTTACTGTTTCTATCCTTCCTTTCACCAAAGAATACAGACCCAAAGAAGCCCACATCAGTGGGATTTGGTGTCGCAGTAGAATACTCAGTTCTAACTGTGACCGTAGGAGATGCATGATCGAAATACGCAGGGAAGGCTGCAGATGAAATTGTCAGCAGTCGTTGGCCATGCGTCGGCCAGAGTAATTATGAGTAGGGGTGCACATAAAAATTTTTTCTTTCAGCATGAAAAATATTTTAATTAGTAGCTGATTATTATGAAAATGATGTTCAATATTTACATTTCAGAGAATAGCAACAGNATTAAATTATTACTAACATAGGTAATAAATTACTCTATTTATTTACACTACTGTTACTAAATCACTTTTCACTGCGCTGTCAATTTATTTCTAGATTCACTTCTGCAACGGTCAATTTATTTCTATTCCACTTCGGCGATCGTCTCTTCATTTAAATACTCCCTTGCTTCCTTTCGGGAACTTTCTCGAGCCGTCCGGAAAAGTTTCGTTTTCTTTGAACTGTTTAATTGCTTTCCCGGAACTCAGGTACGACACATACGTTTACAGATACGGCGCACATGAAGAAAGGCTCCCGCGGCTAGTCGGCGAATCAATAAGCCGCTCACACACACGTATGCCCGATCGCACACAAACACGCTCGTGCTCGCTACAATATATTTATTGAGTTAGACACATGCATTCTTTCTCGGTTCTTTTACCTAAGCTGCGAACAACCTATCCTTTTCGTAAGCTCAACAGAGAAAGATCTGCACTCTCGGCGACCTGTCCCTTTCGCTTTACAACCCGGAAAATTTCTACCGACAGAACTCCCACGCGAGAAGAATTCCCTTCTCTCTTCTGTAACCTGATAGGATACAAACCAGATGACCACTGACAGCTAGTTGTAGTAATAAAGATGACGCAAAATGCACGATTTTAGACGAGGATTGTCTATGTCTTACACATAGGTAGAGAAACAATTATTTTAAAATTATAAAATATTCTTCTGAGTTTGTATAGATTCAAACCAATATTTAAGAATCCAATTGCGTAATACAAATCTAGACAAACAAAAATGGTTTATTGAAGAAACAAAAACTAGAACGAATACGTATCTATACGAATTGATGATAAATGATTGGCAACTTCTTAGAAATTTTGTAACACCCGGGTATAGGCGATTACAGTATTCTGAGCTAATCTTCGTTTCCTATAAAATTAAAACATCAAGTATCTTTAACTATTTGTAATCTATTAAGTTATTTTTGAAGTGAAACTTCTGTGAACTCGGTGAGAGTAAAATCTCAAGACCTTGAAACGACACGTTTTGCAACGTTTTGTCTCGCAAAGCGATAGGCTGTGAGCGTAGAAAGGCGCGCATGCGCATATTTTGTATTACGGTCAGCTGTTAGTGACCGGTCTCTCATACATTATAGTATAATGTATATTCACTTTTTTTATTCAATTATTATTTAATTTCTTTTATTTCTGCTCGGACAATAAAAAAACAGCGATTAAATAATTAAACTGAAAGAATGTTATTACATGTAGGTATGCATATTGATATTGTTTGTCAGTCAGACTAACAACATATTCAATAAGCAGTACAGGCAATAATGAATCTCGTTCTCGAACTGTCACCACACGTCCTTTGTATCGGTGGAGAACTGTAGGAATGTTAATAAGTTCTAGATGTCGTATGCGTCATAATCGTCATCAGCCTACCAATATTCCATGCATTTGAAATATATGTATTGCAATCTCCTCATGTTAGGTTCTCTAACCACATGTAGTATATAAACTGGATCGCCGATTCAGTTGGACAAGAAGGTGCCCTAGCAATTTCCTTCACTGACAGATAAATAAATTACTGACTTTGAACTTATACTGTTTTTCTGTTCAAGGCATTTTATGGTAATGTACCAATTATATGGGTAACTTATTTGATTTCTGTTTGTTGCAGGTTTTTGACTGCCGCTATGTAACTACAACAAGTGGAATGTTTGAAGCTCTTTGCAATCACATCAAGTACAGCACTAATAGAGGAAACATTAGGTTAGTAATAAGACATTTATGAAAAAGGTTTATTTTCATACATTTTTTAAACAATTGTTTATGGTCATTTCATTTACCTAATAAAATTATTAAATTAATTAATAAAACGAGATATTGTTCCAATATCATAAGTAGCTCACAGTTACTGACAAGTTCCAAATATGGGTATTCCCCTAAAAGAAAAACTTTTGGGTGTTTCATTCCGACCAGCCACTAATGCTGGTGGGCCGGCAGTCCCTCCGTACTATGCCACAAGGTGGGGCGGAAGGCCCTCTTCTGCCTTCTTTCAAGAATCGTTGGAATGGGTGAGTCAGAATGATGAGACGGACGAAATGAATATAGAACAGAAAGAAAGATTATCTGTGGAATATTATTGTCCCAACATTTGTTTGAGTGATACAAAGAAACCACATAAAAGCGTGGGCGAAGGCAGACGGACCCGGAATCGAACCGGCTAAGCAATGATCTAAATCACTAGACTATGTCGCTTGCTGGTATTCCCCATGAGAAGGTAGCTTTTATTCAAGAAATTTATCTAAAAACTATCTTAAGGTATACTTCGTTTACTTTCTCTAGGGATTTGCCCCTTCCAATATCTTGGATGCGCGCTTCCAAAATCGTAAATAGGGTTAAAGGAGCTCATTATATTCTCAAACCTTGTTCATTAAAGATACCTTTTCACACAGTACCTGCCAAAAGTTTTGTTCAATCATCATAGTAGTGCGAGCCGAAAACAAGCGTTAAACGTCCAGTGAGTTTAATATGTCTTCAAATGTAAATAAATATCTCATTAATATTTGCTGTAGTAATTGGTACCAATAATAACACATTCGAGCAATGCAATTTAAGTCGATAAGATGGACAATTTTTCCGTGCAGTACTATACGCATTATACGCTCCTCGCCGGTTAAGAATTTGGCCGAGAGTTGTCTCCTTTCTTTTCTGACCTAATGCCGGTTTTGTCTATTTTGTGCAGGTTATACGAAAAGTCACATCAGTAGAGAAAGTAAACGAAGTATAAGTAATGCTCACAGCACAGACGTTTGCTATGCAACGATCACAAGAGCATTACCGTAAAAATTAAGATTGTTCATCTAATATCACACTATGAATGGTTACAAAATATTGTATTTTAGAAGTGTTTAGGAGTTAATGTGAAGCTACTTTTTGATCTAGTACAACTGTAGGGATAGATATACAGGGGCAAAAGATTAGTATGCTTAGATTTGCACTCGATATAACACATATAAAAAGGAGGAGTTTGAGATAGCTTTAAATAAAATGGAAACGGTACTGACAAGACAGTACTGTATAAAGTAAATAAACGTGAAACAAAAATACTGGTATGCAACGGAAGAAAAAGTAGGAAAAGAGCGAATATAAATATAGGAGACGAAAAATTAGAGGAAGTGGTTGATTTAGGTATCTAGGAAATCAGATAAGTCAGGACGGAAGGAGTAGTAGGGATATAAAGCAGGGTCGAGTCGCCTTCAATAAAAAGAAGTCATTGTTATGCTCGCGAACGGTTAATTTAGAAATTCGAAAAATACTGTTAAAGGTGTATGTTTAGAGCGCGGCACTGTACGGGTGCGAAACATGAACGGTGGGCGCAGCGGAAAAAGAAAAAGTTAGAAGCGTTCGAAATGTGGTGCAATAGGCGAATGATGAGGAAACCGTGAATAAAGAAGGTTAAAAATTAAGAGGTTTTAGAAAGAATAGGAGAACAGAGGACTCTATATAAGTCAATAAGATATAGGCGAGATAGGTTGGTAGGACACCTCAGGTATGAAGGCCTAGTCAGAGACTAGGTAGGTAGATACGAGAGTTAAGGGGATTAAATGTAGACCTTAGATTAGATTAATATCGCAAACAGTTAAGGATGTGGGATGTTCTGGTTTTGGGGAAATGCGAAGATTAGCTAAGAGAGTGGAGGTGCGTGTCTTGCCAGTCTTAGGACTGACGACTTTCTGATGATGAATGTAAAGCTTTCACCGACAAAGCATATGTATGGTTCTATGCAAAGTCTTTAACATTTTATTGTTATTGCAAACGATGTAAGCGAAGACAATACACGTACCTACAATTTTTCGAATTGTTGTATTTCGTTTTCAGTACACACACTGATGTACTAGGTAAATACATATCTGTGTCATTGATTCTTGAACGCGGACGTAAAGTTTTCCAACTATAATTGATAAATTGAGAAAATGTCAATTTCAACTAGAGAAACACAACATTTTTCTGGATTTAACGGTAACACACAAACAGTTTTTGCTGAAAACATACCTTTTTATAACTGTTTCCTTTATATTCAAGAAACACAATTTTTCATAATGGAATAAGACAAATTCTTTAAAGCAAGTTATAAGCATTTTACTTGAAGAGGAAGTATTATTTTTCAATTACAATTTTACGTTATTATAACTGCTGATTAGCGTAAATAGGTACTTTTTCTATTGCTTTCTGTAAATACTTGAGGTATTTGAACGATAAGTAAAAAGCAGCAAGTAAATCATATTCTATATAACAAACAACCGAATAATATCGACTCTTCTGTCTTTCAAAAATGTGAAAGTAGAAATTTCTGGCGTACGTGACGGACACCGTAAGAAACAATCAAAGTAAAATATTTGGCCGTTCTGATGGGAAAAATGAAATGAAATATATACACATATGTAATTCATACTGAACGTGTCCTTTTAGCAGCTGCATCAACAGAAATATGCTACGTGAGCATATAAAGAAATATATCAAAAAAAAGGCGAGCGTGTATACTTGTGAAACTTCTTTAGATTGTAGGTTACAGTACAGAGTGTCCATTAAGGGGGGGAGTGCTTGTAAAATTAACAAAAATACTACAAATAAGAAAAAAAATCTTTTTTGTTAATTTTTAGACAAAGCTGTGGAAAATTAAGTGCCAATGATGATGTTGTTCAAATGTTGACCGTCGCGCTGCTAACACTTCTACAACCGAAAACGGAAATTAGCCGCCACGCGTCTACACATCTCTCTGGAAACGGCAGCCACTTCGGTGTGGATATTGTGCTTCAATTGCAGTAGAGATCGTGGTTTGTTTAAGGTATCCCCATGAAAAATAATCAGGAGATGTGAGATTAGGGATTCTCGGACATCGAGAAATTAAATTGTCCAAAATTCACGGTTAAAAAAGTATTAAATTATAATCGTACAAAATATGACTTTCCGGCTAGCAAGCAATCATCAGCATCATCATAAGGTCAACAGTACTTGGACACGCACATCCACTCTTTCCTATCCTGAGCTAATCTATGCATTTCCCTAAAACTACGACATATCCTTAACTATTTGCGAACAGTAATCTAATCTAGGTATATCTTCACCCCTAATAACTCCTGTTTCTGCCTCTAATATGTCTCTGACTTTGATGCCTGAGAAGTTGTTCTACTTACCTATCTCGCGTATTTCTTATTGACTTCCATAGAGTCCTCTGTTCTCTTACTCTTTCTAATAGCTCTTCATTTCTAACCTTCTCTATTCACGGTATCCTCATCATTCGTCTGTAACATCATATTTCGAAAGCTTCTACCTTTTCTTATCCGCCGCACCCACTGTCTAAGTTTCACACCCGTAGAGCACCGTGTTTCAAACATACACCTTTAACAACCTTTTTCGAATTTCTGAATTAACCGTTCGCGAGCATAACTCCTTCGTAAAAAGGAGCGATTTGAAACTTCGCTCGTAGTAAAAATGGAAAAATAGATGAAGTTGGATTTGGAAATACATAAGCGTCTATCTACTTTTAATTTTGTTATAGGTGTGATGTTATTTTGATGCGAACCAGATATAAAGTAATTTCATGATAAAGCACAATTCCATTATGTTTTCTATGAAAAGTCTTAAGCCTACAAATGCATATTTCATAAGTTCATCGTCACCATTTGTTTCGGAAGTGCTGCATAATAATTAGCTTATTTTCTGAAGTCTCTTATATATATATTATTCTAAATATGATCATCCCCTTCGGAAGATTCAAAGCGCTCTTTAATTGAATTTTATGTAAACCTTCCTGGAATACATACATTTATAATTTAGGTAAATTTAAATATTCCAAATTTAATTCTCAAGTGAGACGTTGGGGAAATTAATACCTTCGAATAAACGGTAGAATGATGTACAAGGATACTCTTCCATTTTATTGGAACGATACCTAAATAAATCAGAAAAATATAACTATGGACGTAAAACAAAATGTTGAAATAATTTATGACCGCTTGCACTGTTATTTAAACAAAACGGACATATCAATGTAAGTACTGTTCGATTGTTGGAAGTGGTTTTACAACAAGGTTAGAACAAAGAAAATCATGGCGGTTAGGATTCTGTCGAAATTAGCTTGTTGGATCTCATCAGCACGTCGCGGACGGTTTCCGTGTAATACAGACGAACTCTACCTGCTGCCTTGACACAGTGTTTTATTAAATCCTATAAAAGGCGCGGTAAGGACTGTAGGACTGTTTGAATTTCACTAAACGTAGCATTGTACTAGAGATGGTGTTTACTGAGCCATTTGTAGGATTTACGTAACAAGGCTAGAGTTCAGTAATTCCTAGATAATGGTTTAGTAAAGAAATTTTCAAATATTTAACAGCCATGAGTTAGGGTTACTTATTTAGCGCTGTTACGCATCTAAGTTAACCTTACAGTGCATAATTTTTTATTCGTGTAAAAGAAGTAATTTGAGTATATTTGACCTTACAATATACATAATAAAAAATAAAAATAAAAGTACACGTTTCAACAGCCCCTGAAGGTTAATTTTTGGTTATAGCATATCTGCAACGTCATGTATTAAGAACAAAAGTACAGTCTAAACTCTTTATAACGTCACTCGATTTAACGACAAACTCCTTAAAACGTCGAAATTGCTTGACTTTGGTTGGTTTACATTGTTTTCTATACAATATTACACTCTATATAGCGTCACGCTCACTCTATTTAACGACAACAAT